GAAGCATCTAGAGATCTGCTGGACTAGTGGTAGTGTCACTGTTGGCTCCTTTTTGAGAAAATATTTATCTTTTAAGACATTCCTCCCTTCCCTGTTCTTTTTTACATGATAAGGCAATAGAGCTGTTAATATGGTACATAATGTAAATTAGACAAATTCTAGTGTTTGTTGGAGTCAAACTGTCCAACCCCACTGATCTCGGGTCTGTTTCTTGCTAGATTGTTAAATTGAACAGAGAAGTGTTAACTGTTATTTTGCAATAACGGTGCAAGTTATTTCTTTCAGACTGTTACAAGATTTGTTTATATCATACAGAGAGGCTTAAGCTCATTACTTCTTTAGTAGTGCATCTGTGTGCTTAATAATAATTTTCTGTTAGTTCCTGTAGGCTGCTTATAAGGTGCCGTAATGGTGCTAGCAGTGATCTAGCAAGAAGATGATATTTCTCCCAAGGAGCCATCAGTTACACATCCGGTTTGCAGTGTTTGTGTGTGAACTGTGTGTGTTAAGAGGAATCTTAGGGCCCCAACCAACCATTTTACTCTTTTGCTGCCAAACAAAAAAACCCAAAGCAGTTAAAGGAAATTATTATTACTATGAAACATGACTGTGGAGCAGAAACTGAAGTGTTATGCAGCACTGACTTTGAAATACTTGGTTTTATTAAACTGTCTGTGCAAATCCTCTTGTGATTTGCCAGCATGCTTGATCCTGTTTCTATGACTAGGCACCACAATGGCCAGTGTGGAGTCTTGATTACAAAACAGGCTTTAAGGGACAAATCTTGATGAGTCCCAGATATTGGGCTTGGCTGGAGTTTGGGGAGGTGGTGGAATCCTCTTTACTGTTCAACACTGTAGTAGCATGAGTGTTAAACCTGCCCTTTCTGAAGGGATTTGTATGGGATGGATGTGCACTCGGGAAGGAGTACGTCCTATGCCTAAATCACTTGTGTCGTAGTGGGCAAGGAGCTGCTGTAAAGTCACTTTGGCTTCTGCAGCTTCCTGTAGGTACAGGGGAACCCTGCTCCTCCTCCTCAGGTGGGGAAGGCTTCAGTCTGCCCTGTTCTGCATCCTTCCTTTTAACTTGATGTTCGTAATAGGCAATTAAATAATGATGTAGTATTTATGGTGCTGGTGAGTTCTCTGATGAACATGGCATACAGAAATGGCCAGTGTCTCCACATTCTCTGAGAATTGCTCTATCACCTAATAGTTTGTCTTGGGGTGTGCATGACCCTGCTATGTCACGTAGAAGGGAAAATGTTGCTTGTACATTTCTCTCAACTTCATGTATAAGAAGTGATTTTAAACCTTTGCAGAGTTAAAGAAAAATGTGAGGACAATAGAAACTTGTCCAAATTTACAAGGTTTCCTCATCCAGAACTGGGCCTCCTTTCTGTGCAGGCTGAGGAGGAGGTAGTCATCACCACATGGCACTTACTTATTATCTGAAATGTTCTACCTTACAAAAGCAAAGCCCAAAAACTTCAGAACTATTTTTATCTTTGCTGAAAGACAGGACATAATACCTGAGAGAGGCTGTCTTGGATGTTAATTTGATGTGCAGTTGATTGCAGGGTTTAAATTCCTGGGTAGGATAAACATGACAGCTCTTTTCTCTTCCCTGAGTAAGCCAGAGGAATTTTTCAAAGTGTTTACCCCTAGTATCCCACCCTGGTTTCTCAGCAGCCTCACCACATGCTGACATGGGCACTGTACTGTAAGGATGTCTGACTATTTGTTGTAAAGGGAGGTGCAGCAGGTTTGGTTCGTGTTCTCGGTGCTGTAACCTTCCTCATGGCACATATCCAACCTGGGGGGCAGCTCCCGTCCTGTAGCAGGGCAGGAGACTCCCAGGGAGATGTAATGTGGGACAGGTGGAAAGCACAGACGAAGGGTAACTTTGATTAGGTGCAGGTAATCAGTTTATCCCTCACAAAGTGGCCTTCCTACAGTGATGAAACGTTGAGCACAGTGTGGCTGTGTGCACACAGGCAGGAGATGGGGCAGGTTGGAATAACTCAGCCATAAAACAGTAGCAGCAGCTCCAATCTGGCCCTGTTGTGTAATTCCCCTGGGTGGAAGGCTCCGAACTGGGTCAGATCCGTGTGAGAAACGAGGGCAGTCTCACGGCTGTGTAACACATACCTGCCCACTGGGCCGTGTCCCTGCCGTGTCCCAGTGCCACCAGGTAGGGTGGGAGCCCTTCTGAGACCAGGGCTTATGCCATGGAGAGTGGTTTGGGAGCTGCCAGAGCCCAGGAGGAGGATGGGGGGGAGGAAGACAGACAGCAGCATGACAGTAGGCACAGAGGAGTTAACTGTCTTTGTTCCACCCAGCTCTGAAAGATTTAATTAAGTTTTTTCAAAAGCTTCTGTTTTAACTCTCCTGCATATGGCAGGGGCTGCTGAGCCAGTGTCAGAGTTGGCTTACACAGAACGTGTACTTACTGCTAAACAAAAATAAAGCTTAGATTCGAGCCCTTTGGTATGCCACTCTGAGAGAGAGCTGCTCTCCACTGGGTTTGATTTTATTTATGGACATACAAGGACCTATCCTTACCTTTAAACAATTTTCAGAAAGTGTTTTGTGTTTTAGCTTGTTGGTGGTTTTTTTAAGGTTCTGTGACAAATGATGAAACATGAGAGGATGACACACAGGAGGATACTGACAGAGGAAACTGTATCATGTGTCATTCTTTGACCTGTAGCATTTAGTGCATTACAACACTTCTGCTTTTTCTGTTTGTAAATGAGAATTCATTCCTGCCATGATAGTAGTGTTTGTTTTTCTCTGTTTGGGTTTTGTTTTGGTGTTCATTAGTTTGCTGGGATAGTAAAACATAGAAATTTTAAAATATGCTTTTACTGATATGGTTTCAAGGTGGTTTATAGTACAGTTTGGGCAATGTGGAAATAAATAAATCCCCCTGAAATCCCAGATGACCAGCAGAGACTCACAAAGGTGACCATACTGACCATCTTCTCCTGAAATGTAAGGAAACATGCAGGTTTGCAGTTGCGGATTTGAGTATAGCCTGTAAAGAGGAAAACATTTGTTTTCATTAGGGCTCACTATCAGCTGGAAAGGAACATTGCTGCTACTTAAAAGAAAAAATAAGGCACTGTTTCGTAATACACACAGACTTTAGCGCAACGTTTGTCAGGGAAGACTTCTGATCATAGATGGCTTTTTGTCTGCAGCCCTTGGCTGAAGTCACAAGATGTCAGAAAGCAAGTGATGCTGGAGGTCAGTGCAGCAGCCTGACAGCAGCAGGGCTTGTACCTGCCTAGCAGTAGACCACAGAAGCTGAATTAATATCTTTGGCTTGTGTAAACGGGCACAGTTCCACTTGAGCAAATTCAGATTTTGGCCTTTTCTTCCATCTACGTGACTGAGCCAACTTATTTTGTGGGACACATATAATAGTGTAGGGACTTGAGTTGTCTGTGCCTGGTGGTAAAGTGCTCCTGGGACCAAGTGGTGAAAGGTTTCCTATTCCAATAGCAATCTCCACAAAGCCTGCTCTTCCCTTGTGTTTACTTTAAGACACTATTCTGTGTTATAGAGGAGCTGAGAGGAGCAGAGCAGGAACTGATGACTTCAGCTGGAATAATTCAGCATACTTGACAGTTAGATTTTCAGCCCTGCTACAGGAGTGTTGACTTGTGTCTTTAACCTTTAGGTTTCTGAGCTCATGTAGTAACTGCTGAAACACAGCTGAAAACAAAATTTTTGTCTCTTGAAGTGTTTATAGATATGCGAACTGCCTTATCTGCTTAGAATTTTCATGGGGTTTTTGGGTTTTTTTATAAGTGGTTGATTAGTTCTCAAACATTTTTTAGCTTCCACTGGAAATGTGTTGTAAGTAGGGGGCAGTGGGAAGTGAGTGACAAGGAGATGCTTCCCTCATCTTTAAAGCTTTGTGGGGAACCTGAGGGTAGTAATTCTTCTGCAGCTTGATTTTTCAATACATCCTTTGTCTTATGTTCCTTGAGATCTAGATGCCTTCTTTATCTTCCTTTCTTGGTTGTGTTTCTTTTCATCCATCTTACACAGCTCCTTTAGGATCATTCTGTGCATGAAGAGGAGTACCCAGGAGTGTCCATCACTGTCCAGAAGTGACAGTGTGTGATCTGAACAGATAAACTTGTGGCTTTGTGATTGCTCTTGTCCTCTCTTCAGGCTTTATTGTTGGTGTTGTACCACGATTTCTGCTGTGAGGCAGTGGAGTAGCATAACAGAGGAGTCCTGCACAGCTCCAGTTCTTGTCCTTGAGAGAAGGGAAATGCAGATTCTCTGATTCATCCTTCCCCTGTGTTTACTTTCCTTCTTACCCTGTTTTACAAAAGGACCTTCAGCCTTTAGAAACTGGATCTTTGTTGTTTTCTGTCCGAATTATTAAGGTAACAACTGTTTGTATTGGTTGGAACAGAGTGTTCAGCCAGGCTGTGATGAGGAGCTGTGTGACCTTCACAGTGGGCACAGCTGAGGCAGGAGGGCAGTTTGTGTCCTCAGGGGTCAGGGTAACAGGTATCCCTGTGGGATTCTGAGACTGATGCTGTTGTCTGTGCTTTGTGCATGGATGGTAGTGTTCTGAAATTGTTCACATAATTTATTTACCTTTGCCTTGATACTAGGAATCTTTCTGCTGTGCATGTGTCAAGAATACCAATAAAGATGTGGTTTTTCAGTGATTAGTTAATCTATTGGTTCTGATACTGATTCTCCAGTGCTGGTCCTGTGTCATCATGATACATTGCTTATGGCATCCATTTCGTACACAGGATTTTGTCTACTGTCTGATGTAACTATTATTTAAAAGGCTGATGGCAGATTTGTGTTTTTATGTGCAGTAATCCTGCTCTGATTTTGAGTCTTGAGGTTCAAAAGTTGGGATTTGCTGGAATCATGGACCTCTTTGCTTTTCTTGCAGGGCTGCCTCACGGTAGGACATGAGCAGGTAATGCACAAGGAGCACCACTGGGAATCATGTCAGACGAGTCAATCTCAGGGAGTGATCCGGACCTGGACCCGGACTTGGAGCAGGAGGATATGGAAGAGGAGGAGGAGGAAGATGAGGAGGAGGCGATGGAGGAGGACAATGATGGGGATGACGAGGAGGACTTACTTGATGAGACTGGTGAGTGAATGAGGTTGTGTGGCATTACTGATTTTGGTGAGTGACCCCTTGATAGATTCCATATGGGTTAGGATTTGTCCAGCTCTTGGTAGGGAGAAGTGCTTATGTGGGTGTTTAGTTTAAATATGGATTTAATGTAGGTTAAATTTGGACTCCTAATGAAAAAACTTTCCATCATGAAAACAAGCCACAAGCATGAAATGTAGGTAGGATAGAATTCTTACAATAGCTTGAAATTTTGGGCAAGCAATTATAGAAAGATTAAAATCAATTTACAATCTCTTGTATTATTAAAAAAATCAGGTGAAAATAAATAAATTTACATCACTGGTTTGCCCACAGGTAAACAATTTAATGGACACTGTGGGCAATTTTTGCTCATTTACAATAATCATCTTTGACAACTGGAAAATGTTCTTTTCTGACACCTTCTCACCTACTTGTAACTGCCCAACTCTCCTCTTCAGGAGAGGACCAATTCAAGTCAGGACCAGTACAGCTGTTTGTGGGCCTGTGCTGTGCAGGTTGCATTTAAGCAAGATTAGGTAACTGTTCTGGGTCATGGCATGATCCCAGAAATATATTTATTAGTCCAGCAGAAGGGCTGATGTTCTAGGACACATAGACAGGAGTGCATGGCTCAGGTGGGAATTGCCTATGCTGAGTTTGTCATCAAACTCTTTGTATCATAAAACTGTAGTTCAGAGCCCAAGGGGTTGCTCTTTGCTTCCTTTAAAATTCTGATTTTTTTAATAATTTCAAAGGGTGTACAGATTTTTGAATACACCTATTTAAACCTACTGAGAGTAGTTTTCCTTTTCTTACCATAGAGTGTGTTAAAGACAGATAGTTTTCTTCTTGTTTCTAAGTATTTTTGGCTTCAAAGTACCTTGCTGTCCTCCAGTGTTGTTTGTTCAGGTTTTGTATTCTTTCAGCCATGTGCTACTTGAAGATGCTGTTTTGATTTAAAAGGCTTGTAAAATGTTTGCATAAATGAATTCTATTCCTCTGTTTTTATTCATGTGATGGCTTTTTGTAGTGGGAAAGTAGCAGGGAACTCCCAATGCCAATAGAGATAGAGCTACAGGGCCACAGATTACTTTGTCTCAGACTGGCAGTGGTCTTGTCACTTTGTTCACAGCAACTTGCTCCCAGTGGAGCAGTAGGAAGTATGATATGATAGCCAAACTTTTATAAATAGAGGGGAACGGCTGTATGTACTGTCCAAGTGGGTTATTTCTCATGGTTATTTTACCGTAGACCTGTGTTCTTTATGATCAGCATCTGTATTATTGAGGGTGAATACTCACGGCTGTTTGTCAGGATTATTGTTTCCAAAGCAAACAGGACTAATGGAGGTATCTCAGAACATTGTTAACCACTGATGGCAGCTGTTTGTTTTCATCTTAAAACACTGGAAACATGATTATGCTTTATATTTCTATAGTGACTAATGAAGCATAAATTTTAACAAATGTAGAAAATAATGGAGAAGAGTAAAAAGACAGTTTACATAAAACCAAACATTAAAAGTTTTTATAATTGTTCATTAGGTACAGGAAAAACTCTTACACAGTCTGAGAAGAGCTGGATTGCCTTGTGAGATTTCAAATTGTTCAGCTGCAATTGTGTCTGGATGCTTTCTGGGTGCTTAGATGTATAATTATTTTCCTCTGGGGGGTGTGTCCAGTCTGCTTTTCCTGATATCTCCTCACAGCTACCTACTGCCTCAGAAATGTCATTTGGCATTTATATTACCTTGGATCTAACGTAAAACCACGCTCCTCCTTTTTGTCTTACGAAATATAACCAATTCAAGAATGAAGAGGATCACTTTATTTTGCCCATCTGATGTTTGTAGTCCTGTCTCATTGTAGATTAACCTCATTCATAAAAGTCATCTTGGGAACAGACAGTTACTTTTATTCACAAGAAGGGATACAGTGCTCTAGTGTTCCTATTATGAAGCTTTTTAAAAGCTTAATTTTAATAATTTCTGTTAAAACTTAGTTCTCCCTATTCCCAACTGTGCTATTCTCCCCTCCTGGTATTGTGGTTTTTCTAATCCCATTGGGGATCCTCAGGGGATCTTTCTCTTGTGGATGGGCTCTTGCATGTTTCTAGCACTGCAAGATTTAAAGGATTATTAATATTTCACAGTTATTTCCTTGAAAGGACAACAGGCTGTGCACATCCATTTTCTCCAAACAGAAACCAATTACTTGTTTTAAGTAATAGGGATTATAACAATTATAAAACTTACATTTTTGTTGTTTGCTTGCAAAATAGTGGCTTTGTTTTAGGATTTCTGTGTCTTGATGGTGACTCAAATGATTTAAGAATCTTCCAGGGTTAGTGTAATGTTGTCCATACCTGTTGATGGTGGACAGTCTTATCTCAGATCTGGCAGTGACTTGTGTTTTGCACATTTAACCTGTTTCTGTCTTTTAGTTGTGTTGTGTGTGGAATTAATATTTGTGGTGGTTTCAGTTCTGTAATTTTCTTGGAGTTCTTTTTACATTCTGGTAATTGAGTGCTCTCTTCAATTTTGGTGCAGTTTTTCTAATTTTTGCTCGGTTTTGTTTGTATTTAGTATAGTCTGTCCCTCAGATGGTTAGAGTTTAGTTTGGACTTGTATGGTACAAGCTTTCAGTCTTTGAAGCAGTTCTCAAACCTACTCCCCCTGCACTCAAGGAAGAAAAAGAGCAAGGAAGGCTAGTTTTCTGGATATTTCTGAGTGAGAGCTAATAACTACATAGCTTACGTCCTTTATATGTTTCTTCAGTGGTGATCAGTTAATGAACCTTAGCATCGTGTGTAGGTGTTCTTACAGCTTTAGTCTATTCTTTTCTGTAGTGCTTCTGCCAGAACATACCTACCCTGACACGTACAGCCCCTTCCCAGTGGCTGCCAGACTGCACACCCATCGTAGCAGCATGCTTCAATCCTAGCCAGAGGCTTCCACTGCTTTTCCAGCCTTGTCATCCCTGCCCACTTCATCTGTTTTCTCATCACTTGTGGGTAGCAGCACTTGTTTTATCGTGTTTGATTTTGTGATAGCAGTGCGTGACTGCTAAGAACTTTCTTGTTAACTCCCTAAATCTTTTTCACTAGAAATGTGATGTACTGATGACTGTGGAGATAAAGGGCTGTTTCAAGTCCTTTCACTCTTTCTCTGATCGTGATAGTTGCTCAGGGCTGTGTAGAACTGTATAGGAATAAAAGCTAATTCAAGCAAAGAGGAAACAAACCTTCAATATGGATTTTACAGATCCTTTCAAATGCAAGGTCTGTTCATACCTTAGAGCTTTCCCGAGGAAAGCTGTTGAGTGTTTGAATAAATCCCACTGTAGTGCTCTGTTTTTCCACTTTCTGAATGTCTTTGGATTATTCTGATTGAAGTCTCTGGAGTTCATTATCTCTTACTCGTATATATTGCTGTAATTCTGCTATTAATAGTGATGGCAAATTGCTTGTTGTCTTACCTCTGAGTATATGGGTTAAACACTTTTTGTAAAGTGTAGTTTAGGGGTAAAAGTGGTTGTTAGTTCTCTGAAAGATGCCTTAATGAGCACAGGCATTCAGCCACTGTCCTCAAAGGCTGCTAGTTGTGTTTGCAGTACAGAGCACCTGGTACAGCAGGCAGGGCTGGGAATCAGTACTCCTTGGCTATAGTAATGGAAAATTTTGCAGTACCACAGTAGCACTGCAGTGCTTACTGTACACCAAATAATAGTGTATTAGATGCTGCTGTTGTGATATGACAAACTCCACAGAATTGGCCTTGTCTTTTCCCCTGTGTTGTCCATTTTGTCTGTTTTCTTCTTTCCCATCTGCTCTTTCTTTTCACAGGGCTGGGGCTGTGCTAGCTCTGTGGCATCTCGGTTTTGACTAGTGGAGAGCAGGAGGGATGGAGGCAGTCTGTGCTCCCTCTTCCCACCTCAGACTCATACTGCTCCTCCTGCTCCCTGAAAAAGTGATGGAGCAAACCAAAACTCGTGTGTGTGGGGTTTCTATAGACATATGGACATGTAGAGGAGTGAATGAGCAGCACAGTTGGTTGGTGGTACAGAACAACAAGTCCCAGGAGAGGAGGACATGCAGATGTCTGTGCTCTTCTGCACTGCAGCTCCTTAGTACGGTGACAGCATCAGGGCCAAGTCTCAGAACCTGTGAGAGATTGGTGCATGAGGTGAGTGAGGGGGAAGAGAGACCTCACCCTAGCCTCTTAAGACTGTGCTTATTCCTGGTTATGACATTTGATGGTATCATGACAGATTCAGTTACCTTTCCTTTCTGGAACATGGTCCACAATGTATTTTACTATCTGCTTTTTGCTTGAACTTGAGTGTGCCACTTGGTATGTAGTTTGGAGTTTCCCAAGATACCAAGGCCAGAGTTCTTGACTTCAGAAGGCAGCCACTGCTGATCCAGCTGTGAGAAGATCTTGCTTTCCTTGAATCCTCACTAGAGGAAAGCCTATTTGTTTAAAGGGGTCCTGCTAGATCAGCTTTGCTTACAATTTTCACTTGGTGGTTGGGGAAAAAAATTGTCATTGTTTAATGTGATGTTCCTTTGTGGCTCTTTGTGGGTCATCATGGTGTGTACAGCAAGGGGTGCAATTACACTGAAATCAGTCTGTAACCACCTGGATAATTTCCTTGTCTAACCTGATGGGCAAAATCAGTAGTTAACACCATACTTACTATAAAGTTCATTAGTACCTGGAGTTATTTAAGCTGAAACTACATCAGAAATCTGTAAAGTTATGCGGAAGTGTGGGTTAATATTTCTTTGAATGGTACATGAATGCATCCTTGAGGTACAGAGATCTGCTGCTCAGTTTGGAGATAGTGTTATTCATGTGCTTCCCACCCCAAATCATTCTGCCTTTTCTTCTCCCCAACAAAGTGCTGGAATGAAACAAAACTGTGAGATGTGTCCCCAGCTGGATGTGTGTGGCTGGGAATAGAGCAAATTGCTGTCCTTGCAGGGGAAGA